TTTTTATAAACGCTTTGAAGTATAGAAAATTTTAATATTAAAAAATAAATAAAAAAATTGTTTTGTATATATATAAATTTTGTTCAAGGCACATTGACCCACCTGTACAAAAATTGTGGCGCGTCATGGACCAAAATTTTACAATTTCGGACAAAAAATACGAAAACGAGCTAAGTTGCCAAGTTACATCTGTGAACTTCCGATAAAACCACATATTTTTGTGATTTTAGAAGTTTTGATTTTATTAAAAAAAAATCAATGTATTTTCCTGCAGAAAACGTACACTTTTATTTAATGTTTATTAAAATTACATCTCAAAAACTAGTTAATGATTGAAATATGATATGGAACATAGAAATAGAGTGTTTTGCTAAAAATTACCAAAAATTTCCAAAATTCGAGATAACTTATTTTACTGGATATAGAGAAATAGTTGCCACTTTTCACTTGGCTGGCCGAGATTTCTTCATTTTAAGATTTTAGAATTTTTTTGTCGGATTGAAAAAGTTGAACTTGTAGGTGATGAATTTGCTGGGAGATGTGCTGCGGTTATTTTTATGAATGAATTTACTTGGCCTTGAGAAACACGCGCATGCGGTTATGAAAGAAATTTTGTTGTATTTGAGTATGCGTGTATTTATGTGCATATGTATGTATGCTGCCGTGAGTTGTAAATACCCTGCAAAAAATTAGACTAATCCGGGATGACTCCGGGAGCAATCGCAAAGGAGCATGCTACTAATACCACTTTTTATCTCTTTATATGGAATGTTCGAGCATGTCCTATGAAGAGACTAATTGTTCACCTTTATACCCGAACGGGTATAAAAAGCGACTAGTCAATTTAAAAAAATAAAAATAAAAATTTGCGCCAGCTGAGATTCGAACCGGGGTGCTCAGTTTAGTTAGGCGAATACTCTCTGTGCGAGCCGTGAAATTTCATTGACTACGTGCGTACATATCATTAAATCGTTAATAGTACCCGTTAGAGATGAGTTGGGGACTAATTGATCTCCAATTATACCCATAAGGGATGAGCCGAGACCAATTGATCTCCATTAGTACCCGTATGAGACTAGTTGCGACTAATTAATGCCCAATTGTACCCGATCGTGAGTAATCTTGGAATACTCTGTTTAGAGATTAGTCGCACAATTTTTTGCAGGGTATGTACATTTGTGTGTATGTGCGCAGTATTTTGGCAGTAATATGCACATACATACATATATATGTATGCATGTAAACATGGGCGTAGCCAGGTAGGGGCAGGGGGGAGGGCCCGGGGCCCCCCCCCCTAACTTTCAAATTTTTGCCTAGATATTCAAAAATACTACCACGAAATGCTTGCTGGATAATTTCGGCCCCCCCTAAATTTCAAGGTTTTTCCTATATATATACTGTATAACAAATTATACTCCCAACGCTAACTAAATAATTAGTAAATTGATATGAAAAGTAGATATGTGGATCATCCGGTTCTGTATCAAGTTATTATCTCTAACTTCAAAGCACTTCCATTTTAAAAGGGTAAAAACCTGGCTGCAGTCGACAATGAGCAAAAATTTATTGAACGGAAACTATAAATAAATTTATAGTTCAATTGTTTATTACTTTGTCTTTAGGTGTGTGTCTTTACTAAGCGGTTGGGTGAACAGCCAAGACGTTTACTTCTAAAGTGTGACAAAACAAAATCAAGTAATATATTTAGCATAAATAAATATACCAGCCTAAAAAATCTGCGTACTCAAAATGTTCAATACGCCCTCATACTTATACATACATACATATGTATGTATATCATTTAACGTTTTGTCCGGCTATTTGGTTTATTATACAGGTATGTAGAGCGAATTTAAAAAAATTCATCAGGGTTTAGTTGAGATATTCGTTTTTGGCCACTATGTTTTGTACATTTCCCAGTACTGCAAAGCTTTTGACGGCCATTCACCTGGGAGTGGCCAGAAGTGATTCGTGTGCTTACGGTTCAAATCGCAGCTAACTACGTCCGGATATTTATATCCATGAATACTCTGGGTAGCGACCGAACGCTAGTTTGGGAGCGAGGTAAAGTGGGAGGGCGTAACACCCCGCGTGCGCTGGGGATTAATCGGGATGGTGCCTCTGCCCGGCTGGTTGAAGTCCTAGGGAAAATAAAGGCTGACATCAGCTCCATCCACGAAATGCGATGGACGGGGCGAGGAAGGTAAGCGTGAGCCTTGCGACGTCTACTACAGTTGCCACGTAAAGGAGTGCAATTCGGTGTTGGATTTGTGGTGGGAGAGAGACCGGCGGTCACTCTAGTGGACGAAAGTCTAGCCACAATCCGCATCAAAGCGATTCTTCAACATCTCATTCACATGTGCCAATGCCCCGATGGAAGAGAAGGACGAGGCATCCAAGGCTCTCTTAGCTTAGAGCGTCATATTAGCGCTGCCCCCGACACGTATAAAAATCGTGCTTGGCCATTTAAATGCCAAGGTGGGCAACGAAGGGATCTTTGGTGCCAGTGTCGAAAAAATCAGCCTCCACATAGAAACGGCGGGCTGAGGATGATCCACTTCGCCGGGGCCCGAAGCTTGGCAGTATGTATTACTGGGTTCTAGCATAAAAACATCCATCAAGCTATTCTCATTTTCGTTGTTGGTGTTTCCGACAGGGTAGGAGTGTGATGTATTGTGGAACGATTTTCCGTCGTCCCTTGTCAAATTTGGTTTGGAAAAAAACCGGTTTCGGCGTTGTTCCATCTTCAGTGTCATTTTTCGTTCTCTCAAGCTACATGGATGTCTCCACATCGAAAAACGGGAAACCAAATCGAGCATGTTGGGATAGACGGAAGACATGCTTCCATGTTTTAGATGTACATACGTACACTCCGAGGGCCAAACATCGACTCGCACTACTATATTGATGCATCCAATATACGACCTAACCTCGGAGAAGCAAAAAAAGGGCCCCCCAACAATGCAGGGAAAGTTCAACGTCGAAAAGCTGCAATCAAAACAGACGGCCAATGGATTCGGCGCTCGACCTTCACACCTGTTGTGAGAGAGCACTCTTCAACAAACCGACTTGCGCGAGCAGTGGAACCACATTTCCCGCTAATTACTGGTACGATCACGAGTGTGAGAAAATGCTTGAAATGCTGTCCGACAGAAAAAACACCCGAAATTTTTAGCAGAGAGTTGAGCGACTTACGGAAGGTTTCAAGACTCTTGTATGAACAACCATGGCGACCTAGTGACCGATGTCCAGAACGTACTCAGATTATGGAGGGAACACTTTTCGACCCTTTTGAATAGCGGAAGCACTTCGAGGTCCCAGTCGATGACGATGGAGTCGATATCCCAGCGCCTGACTATGAAGAAAAGTGCCAAAGCTGTTTGAGCTGACGGCCTGTCAGCTGAGCTATTTAATTACGATGGCAAGGAGGTAATAAGGTGCATGCCCGACGACTGGAATCCAAGTGCGCTCTGCCCAATCCACAAGAAAGGCGACCCCGCCATGCGTACCAACTACCGCGGGATCAGCCTTCTAAGCATAGGTTGCAAGGTCTTATCGAATGTATTGTCTACCATAGACCAGGTATTCACAGTACGCCGAATCTTGGAAAAGACCCGCGAGAAAACGATCCGCACTCACCACCTATTTGTCGACTTTAAAGCCGCTTTCGACAGTACTTAAAGGTATATGCCGCTATGTCTGTCATACGCCTGTGAAAAATGACGTTGAGTAATACCACCAACTCTGCTCTGTTGCCTTTCGCCACCAGACGGGGTTTCAGACAGGGCGGCTCTCTTTCATGTGGCTTCTTTAATCTGATGTTGGAGAAGATAATAAGATCTTCAGAACTGAACCGCTTAGGAACAATTTACTACAAGAGCGTACAATTGCTGGCTTATGCCGATGACACTGACATCATCGGTAAGAAAAACCGCGAAGTCTGTCCTGACTTTTCCAAGTTGGACAAGGAAGCAAAGCGAATGGGTCTGGTGGTAAACGACGACAAGACGAAGTATTTCCTGTCATCAAACAAACAATCAGCTCATTCGCGCCTGGCACCCACGTCACTTTTGACAGTTATAATTTCGAGGAAGTAGAGAATTTCGTTTACTTGGGAACCAGCATTAACACCTGTAATAATATCAGCATGGAAATCCAACGCAGAATCGCTCTTGCCAACAAGTGCTGCTTTGGACTGAGTAGGCAATTCAGGAGTAAAGTCCTCTCTCGACTTACGAAAACCACACTATAAATCACTCACATGCCCGTGCTGGTATGTGGCGTATTCAAATACAGCGGCTCAACTGGCTTGATCATGTCGTTCGAATGGACACCGACGCCCCAGCTCTGAAAGTATTCTGGCTTCACTTGGCATTTCTAATAGGCGTCAGTTGGTCAAAATCGCTTTGGCGGTTACAGCGCCAAAAAGGAAGAAGAGGAAGAGAATAGTTCTATAACCTTATCAGTCACACAGTGTTATAATCCCGACGAAATCCTTGACGGTGGTACCGGGAGGGGAACGGTACATGACGGTAGGAATTTTAGTTTGGGTTAAAGTCTCACACGGAAGGGGTTAGGCTTTCGATGCTTCCTCCTCGTAAAATAAACATGCTCAGTAAAATGTTAACCATTTAAATCGACGAATAGTTTTATATCAACTTTTGTGAACTTCTGTTTATTTGTTTTTTGTACAACATATTTACCTTTATTGGTTACAATAATTTTAAGCTATGATAAAACAAATTTTAGTACATAAGTAAGTTATTGGTTTTGAATTTTTTATTTTGTATGGGCCCCCCCCCTAAATATCGTTCTGGCTACGCCCATGCATGTGAAAACGTCATCAGTTAATGGAGTACGTATGTACATACGTATGCATGGCGAAATGCATTTT